CCAAGCATTCGAAGAGCTAAGATGCCTGATTTGTTTTTTTTTTTTTCCCCCCAAACGTTGTGTGATTGGAGTCATTTATGATCATTCTAGCATCTCAGAAACTGCTACCCTTATATTACAGTGTGTAGAGGTTAGAGACTGTTGTGATGGATCAGTCAGTGGCATCGTACTAACTTGTATTAATTGCAATGCTAACATTGTCCTTCTTTAGGCACAGTAATATTAATTTATTTAGCAATTCTCTTATTTATATGGGCTTGCCAGGAGTGTTGTGCGTTTGCTTTGTTTTGCCACAGAGTTGGGCAGCGTGAATTTTAAAAGCTCTTTCCTCCTTTAGTTAGTGATGACTAGAGAGAGTGTAGTGTGTGTTTGTGCGTGTGTGTGTTTGTGGCTTTTATCTATTTTTGTTCTGTTCTGTGTCTGGCCAAGCCCTCTAGGTTTCTCTGTCAGATGCGCGTTACCTTTGGTATTCTCCAGACGCAAATCTAACGGCCCTCAGGGGGAAGCCCTTCCTGCTGTAATGAGTCAGAGAAGCCATTTTGAAGTGCATGAGGTGATATGCTGCTTCTAAAATGGGTTTTGCTGGAGCAGTTTTTTTTTTTTTTTCCCCCCACCTCTTCCTCTCCTCCCAGATGGCAAAGTGTGTTATGCTGATTGGCTGATGCATCACTAGGCATGTGCCTATAGGGACCCCATTAGTAAGTGCCTCCCTCTTTAACCCACAAGCCACTGGTTTGAAACTGATCATTCACTTGGGATTATTTTGACTGGATTTTAGACACGAAGGGTGACTAATGATTTGATTTTTATGGGGGGGGGGTAATATATTGTTTTAAATGACATGAAAGTAAATGTATTTAAGCCATCTGTAATTGTGAGGGAGGGGCAGGTGGGGACCCTTGGGTATTGCAGTGGGCAAGCTGTCGCTTTTGTACTTCAGAGATCACTGCTTCCATGTTTGTTGTTCCCCTCCTCATTCTCTTGCTCCTGAAGCTCTAACAGAGCTGCCCATTTGAGCCCCGGATGTTTTGCTTGTTACACAAGTCATTTGTGGCAGGGTGGTGGACTGTTTGCGGCAAACTATTGTGTGCATCATTAAAAGCAAAGTGTAGAAATGGAACAGAAAATGTAGCTGTAGAGGTACAGAGAAGGGGGGTGGGGGGGGCGCCTCACATTCAGTGAAAGACAGCTGTTAATGTCCCAATCTGGTGTCCTGCCCAGGTGAAAATGATTTTTCTTTCACGTTCCCCGTGAACTGGTCCAAACCAGCTACATTCCACTCTGCGCCTGGAAGGAATGTTTACTTGTTTGTGCTGTTTTGTATGTTTCCTCAGCGCTTTACAAGGAGTTTGTTTAGGGTTCAGTTTGGCAACGCCAGTTAGTTCACCAGAGGCAGCCTTGTGGTGCTTGCATTACTTGTTCTGTCAGCCATGCCAAACTTGCAGCAGCCAATATAAGAGCTTCTCTGTTTGTCATTGCCCTTGGTAGATGTTATCGATTCATTCACCGCATGTCTTGCACAGACCAGGGTGGCTGTTTATATTACCTTGCTATTTCAAGCCCCCTTCACCCAAGTAACACTATAATCTTATTTTTCTCCCCCCTTCTACAGATTTGTTTACTTCGACACCCTTGGATGCCACCTACTTGGTGAAAAAGGGACTCCGATCTTTTGGACTGTGAAGTTTCCAGTGTGATGTGATGTGATGAAGCGGAGATGTACCCACACGCCCCAGACTGGGATGCAGCCAATGAGAACGCTGTACCACACGCCCCAGACTGGGATGCAGCCAATGAGAACGCTATGCAATGAAGTTGCACAGAAAGTCAGGTTCTTTTTAATTCGCTTTGATGTTGGACGACCACGTATGGTTTAAAGAAAAATAAACTAAAAAAACGTTTACAGGATGACTGGCGGACGCAGTGAGGTTTCATGTGGTTGTGGAAGTTTTGAGAAGCAGGTCGTCAAGACATTTCACCCCTTTTGGCTTGAATGGTTTATTTTCTGCAGTGGGCCTGAGGTCTTATTTGTTGCTCTTTAATTGACACATGCTGCCATTGCGATTGGGTCAGATGTGCCGTCAGGTGATTGTGGTCTGATCCCTGTGCTGCTTTTTCCTCGTAGTTAAAGGCCTATCACATATTTTAATGAATGGACCATCCACACTGGTTCAGATGACCAGTATGAGGCGTCCCCAGTTCATCAGTACCCATGCTAAAGTTGGCTCACAGGTCCAAACTGCCCTACTTTCTCAGCGGTGTTTCCAGTTGAGCTGAGGTCCTCAGCAGGTCTTGAGGAGCCTGACTTCTCTCTCTCTTATGAGCGTGAAGCAGCTTCTGTATGCCTTTCCTGGGGAACTAGGAGCCCCATGACTGTCCTCAGTCTGAATACTAACCAAATCAAACGACACAGCTGCCTGAAAAAAATAAATAAGGACGCCATTTTCTTTTACCTGTGTGCCTTAATTATTTATCCAGTAGTTAACCTGGGTGTCATTTCCTTACTGTGATGCTGTTGAATTTGTTTAACGCTGGTTTGTTCCCCTTATCAATATTTGTTAATAAAGTAAAACATTTCAGGTCCCACATTTTGGGCAGTGTTGCCACATGGTATGACTATATTTCTGATAGCTAACACTTTGCCCATCCTTTTTTGGCTTATACCCATGGTCAAAGAAATATTAAATGCACCGTTTTACTTCCAGTTGATTATCAATTACAAAACAAAAACAGTTAATGGACTCCCATTTACTGTATGAGGAAACACTTAACTGACTTAGCAAGCTGGTCTTAAATGTGTTGCATAAAACTGTATCAAGCAGCGTAATTGGACAGACTTAACGGCCATGCGATTGAACGGTCCGTCGGCCCCTTTAAGAAGGTCTGGAGTGCAGTGAAAGTCTGTATCCACAGGGAGCTGAAGGGCTTGTGGGCCGCGCTGCTCGTTTCCTGTTTAACCATGTGCACAGGGGTAATCAGAATAGTTCTTGAAACTGAGCACAAAAGGGAAAATGTGCCCAGGAAGGCTTTGACTGGAAGCTCAGTTTAATGGAAATCATAGGATTTTTATGTTCCAGTTGCTGGTGTTGTTGACTTGCGTTGGGCTATTTTGATGATGGCAAATAACACTAAATAATGGGGAAAACAACTATTTTTAGATACTCCCTCTGTTTACTCTGCCCCAAACTTCGGTTTAGATGGCTTGCTATTCCTATATTTTGTGTGCGGTACTAGCGCCCCCCCCCCCTTAGTGTCCACTGAAATTTCCATGGATGCTGCCTGTTACCTGGGAATATCTGAATGTTAAAGCTTAATAGCTCTCTGTAGTGTTTATTAATGTAAACTCAAATCCCTACATGTACCACTGTTCACCATTGCAGTGTGAATCAATGGCATGTCACTGAAACACCCTTGCAGCGACCAACATGTGTATCATACCTTTTAAGAACTGATAATACTAACTATTGACAACATTAACATGCCTATACCTACTTAAGGTATTTAAATGCACCTTGCAACATATTACAGATTCTTAAAATTGTCAAGAAAAGCAGTAATTTGGTTATTTTCAGTGTTGGTTGTATGTCTGAGACAGATTGAAAGTTGCTCTGCATTTTGGGAACCATAGTCATCCTCAAGTGGGAAGTCATTTGATTAGCAAGTATAATTAATTTAGCAAAAATTTAGTCAAGCTGTGCTAAGGGCTTGAAAACAATTGTGCAGATCCATGCATTTGTCAGCAAAACAGCATGAACTCTGTGGTAAGTGATGGTTGAAAAAGTTGTTTTTGAATATTAGAAGGTGTGAGCTTTTCTTAAATTGCTTGGTTTACAGTTATGCACTTGATTTGGAGTCTCGTTTTCTGGTTCTACCTCACATTTGCCAGGCTCTCCTTGAGAACCTCATTTATGCCATTGGTTGATGTCCTGGGTTCTCTCTTGGCAAGAGTAATATTCGGCGTGTAGACTTTTTAAAATGTTGCTAGTTGACTATTGATAGGCTAACTTTACAAATAAAGGTATCTTTCCAGTTTGGTCTGACTTGATAGACTGGTGTTCCCTAAGGGTTCCAGGATTCTCCAGGCTGCTGATCTGAATTGTGCTTTAATCTCTGGCGTGAAACCAGTTTGTTGTTGTCCATGTTCTCTCTGACACTATTAACACTGCTATTCATGTGTGTGTGTGTGGGGGGGGGGGTAAATGGGCTGAATATGATTATAGTAAATGGTTGAGTCTCATATTCTACAGTGAGCAGGTTCAATAAGTTGTGTTTTACAGCTGTATCTTCTACACCCACCCTTTTATATGACTACGAGCAAGCAAATTGTGACCTGTTTACCCCCCCCAGAAACTTCAACGATGCATTTTAAAGATCAAGCTTTCGACTGGAGTCATGCCAGCAACTTAAAATGGACCATTTGCTTTTTGGATACTCAGGCTTTTCGAACAGCATAGCTTTACATTTTGAAGTTTAACATTTTTAAGCTGGAGCCTAAACTGAAAATGCAAAGTTATAGGCTTCTTCACCACGCCCAACCCCCCCACCCCCCCCAAAAAAGTAAATAAATAAGGTCTGCACGTTGTTACCTGCAACTGCAGTGATTTATTGCGCTTGGCTCAGTCTTATTCCTCGGGTGTTGGCGTTGCATTTCCTACAAGAGCAATATGTCTGTCTTGGATTTCAATCTGTGCTTTATTACGGGGACCAGTACTTACAACTGGAAAGGTTGATACGATCCCACCTTCCACCTCCCCTGCCCTAAATTGAATGTGTCTCCAATTAGGCGGGTTAGAGTGGTTGTGTCTTGTGGCTTTGACTAGTTTGCTCTGGTTGAGGATGGTATTGATGTGACTGGAAGTGAGTGTTTTTTTTTTAATACCGTAACTTTCTTTGGTTCCTCACCTATGACCAGACCTTTCCATGTTTGTGAGACCCAGAGCGCACTGCTGTCTTTCTGGGTCTGTGGCACGTACACGGTTGTATTGTATAACTACACGCCTACATGTACTTGCTGATATCCCGTGAGTGATCAGATGGTTTTCTTTAGTATTTATTTTCTTCCCTGTATTATCTCTCTGGTTCAACTTGATGATTTGTACATTGTTCTATGCAAGCATCTCACTGAAAACACTGTGCTGAGAACCACGTGATGTCATGCCTGCTCCTTTCTCAGAGTAGACTGGAGGAGCAAAGTGAATCTTTTTGTTTTATTTGTTTTCTGTTTATTGTATTAAATTGTTCTTGGCTATAGTGCTAATGGGGAGCCATTAGGAGGTTTAGAGAATGACCAATTTGTAAATATGTTGGAACAAGTTGTTTCTTGAAATAAATGAAGTAAAATAAATAACATGGTTTTTCTGTGTTGCCTTTTTTTTTTTTTTTTTTACTCTCAACAACAGCATAAGCTGGTGAGGGTTTGGATCCTCACATATGTTGGTAGGTCTATCCACTGCTCTAAAATCACAGGGGAACTATGTGTGGTCACTGTTCTGACAGTCTGCTGCTAAGTGAGGCTTAGCGGAGTCTGTAAACCATTTCTTTATAACATGGGAGTATGTTTGGACTTGACTACCTCTTGTATTCCTGGATAGTTAATGTTTTCTTATTTGGGGTAGTCGGTGTTTCTTAACCCAGTCTTCCAGCTTCCAGACAGTCCACCTTATTGCTCCTTCACCCCTGTACCAGGTATTGGGTGTTCTTTTTCAGATGAGTGGAAGCAAAAATATGGATGGGGGGGGAGGGGGGTTTCACGCTACGCTGGGCATCCCAAGGCCTGACCTGTACAGCTTGACGTCGCTCAGCCTGAGAAGCTGCCTCTCCTCTCTCTGCAGGCAGGCAGTTGTGTGCAGTGCCCGTATCCCGGAGCTCCCTGCACTGCAGGCTGTCCCTGCACTGCAGGCTGTCCCTGCACTGCAGCTTGGTACGTTGTGTGCACACGCCGTCAATGGAGGATTAGTGAGACTTTGTATGGGACGGTCAGGACAGAGGATCGGCGGATCAGGTCCTCTGTCTGCTTCCCTGCTACAGACCTGCACATGTACTGACCATGTCTGTGCTTTTGAGACCTTTTTAAAATGTATTTTATTAATCAATGCAGATCAATAATTAATTGGCAAATGCTTGCAAAGGTTACAAACTGCCTGTAATATCTTCCAATATCTAATTGCCAAAAAAGACCAATAAAATATAAACATGTACTTTGAAAGAGCACAGTATTTTCGATGGTTTGTGTGTTATAAACTTTTTTTTCCTGTACAAGTCTCTGCTTATACTTACACCCAACAAAACAAAAGCTGGCCGTCCAATCAATGGCAGGCATCGGAGGTCTCTTCCTGGTTCTGGGTGGAGTGCAGCCTATATGCTGCAGTTCTTCTCTACAGCATGCAGAACCAGTGCATTCAGAGTGGATTATGTGTTGTTGGTACATTTTGCCTGTAGCCTCAGGTTGGCTGTCACTTTAAGTAGAGGTCACTCATTTTCTGTGCAGGTAGAGGCTTGTATGAAGTATAATTAAGCTTCTCAGTCAAATACAATAACCTTTCTGTTTGCTGCTTTAATGTTGTCAAGATTTTTTGTGAATAATATATTTATCTATTATATATTTGTCAAATTACCAAGTTACCCATTTATATATTAGATATTTTATTGGGGCATCCTCATGCTCTTCATAACCCAGCCCAGGATTGTGATGTCTGAAGCCTTTAGCACGGGCCCTTGTGCTGGGGACACCCGTGTAAATACAGGGAGAGCACGCTAATGCCACACATGTGCACACACAAACATAGTAGAAAGAAACAATCTCACACCCTCGGAGGTGTGAGGCCATAGTCTTGCCCTTTTACTGAAGCAAAGTTCGGTGTTTTTCTCTGGAGCACTAAAGCAAAATCATGCTGGTTCGGGGACTAGACCCAACATCCTTCAGGCTGGGAGTCAGCATTCATATCTACTGCTCATCACTTACAATGCCTCAAAGCGAGGATTATTTCGGAAAGATGTCGGATGTTAGGGTCAGCCGCGTTAGGTCGTTTCAGCCTCCGGGGCTAAACCTTGAAACCACACTAATCCCCGCTCCTGAAACGATGAGGTTGTCCTGCCTGAGGGGAGAATGTAAACCTCGCGGTGACAGCGATCGTATTCCCTCTGCAGTTACGTTCACCAAGAGTGAATGCTGATGATTTTAATTGAAGCACTTCTGTAACCTTTCTGTACATGGTGATAATAGATCAACGTGTAGCAGTGCGCTGGTGGTCGGCCAGGTCTCAAGAGGTAAAACTCAACGCAAATTGTGCCGTGTGGAATTAAGATAAAGACGGTATGGACTAATGCTGAAAACAAACGGACCTCCCTGGAGATCTGTATGAGGGGGCTATTATAGGCTTACCTCCTATCAGCTGGCATCCCACCCCCCAGGATGAAACCAGTGTTTGCTTGACTATACGCAATTGAGAGGAATGCCCCCAACCCCAAGAAAAACCATCAGTCGGTATGTATGACATGAACCCCATACTGAGCCTGAAACAGTAACATTGTGTGTATTGCTCCTGAAAGCCCCCCAGCCGTCTGATCCACAGGTCTGTGATTAAACGGGCCATCAGCACAAACCGCTAAATGAACCCCGGTGTCCCCCGGGAACGCTGATGATGAATGAGACAGCCGATCGTCCGTCAAAGAGACCTCGTCGCATTAGTCTCTCCTGTCCACTCTTCCGTTTCTGCCTCTTTGTGCTGTCATCTGAGAAGTGGCCAGAATGCACCATTTCCACAGAAAATAATACCCGCCACTTCACAGACGTTCGGAAAGACCCCATACCCGGGCTCTGTTCTCATCTGAGGGATGCCCTGTTCTGCTCCATTCGCATTTGACACAGCTGGCTTCTATCCACCAATTATAGTGCACTTAACGACCTTTGACCCCACATGCATTCATACCTATGAGAGACACAAGTATTGCTGATCAGTACAGCACGTTAGCAGACTGTTAAACTTGTTTGCTATAGGAACATATGGAAACCATGTGACACATTTTGGAGGAGGGGAGGGAACGGGTTCAGAAGGACCCAGTGGCTGTAGGCGAGGAGTAAATCTGTACCCATCTGTGGTGCTTGGGCTGACAGGTGACAGCGTGTCATCCCTGCTGGTGATCCGAGGTATTTCCTCTCAGCTACACGGACCGGGAAAGAAGGTACGGTTACTTCAGGTTGCTTTCCAGTGGGGCCCAGATTCTGGTGAATAGCTGTTAACCATTTAAGACTTCACACTCTATAAATGTAAAATAACGTGCTAGTGAGGTCACGTATAATTGTGGGGCACTATTAAACCACACTCAGAATCCAAATCGCCTTTTTTCACCATGTGCTGGGTGAGCACGTGTGTTATATATGAACCAGAACATATTTGTGTATATATATATTTGCTCAGGGGCTCTTTTTAGGGTCTGTGGTGTTTGTGGTTCTCCCGTGTCCAGTGTGCCGTCTCAGAGCGTTTCCTGCCACATGATAGCCATGTAGGGTGCGCATGGAGCTCAATGCGTCATGCAGGGGCCTGGTGCAAGGACAGCACCGGCAAATCGGGGGAGGGGGGGCTGCCACACGGTGGGCCACTGGTCAGGAGAAAAACAGGAAACTCAGCCTATGGAACGCAGCAGGACTGGGGGAACATCTGGGTACCCGATGTCCCAGTGTGGAAGGTGGGGGGGGCAGTATTCCAGGGAAGCTTATAGAAGTGAAACTGGAGACATATTTCATTGCTCTGAGTCTGCGGTGGAAGCTGGTTTTGTGGAGGGGGGCTGGGATACGAATGATGAATGTTATAGAGTAACACCCCCAAACAGAGGGGGCAGCGCCTTCACGATGGCTGCTGTACACCCCCAACACCCCCCCCACCCAAAATGTCTTTGTTGCTAATGAAGCACATAGTCAGGTACCATGATAACAGGACTTATCCAACCCCCCCCCCCCCCCCCCCCAAGAGGTCCCAAGGAGAACCCTCCCCTCTCCCATAGTGAAGGGACTATTGGTAGGGTTGTCAGACGCCCCATGTAATTTATTTTTGGCTACATGTCTGGCTCACCTACAGTTTTGCGTGTCATTTATTTAGCACATGTTTTATATTTTTTTGCAAAAGCAGGGTCAGCCTCCCTGGAGCGACTGGGGTTAGGGGCCTCAGAGCCCCGACGGTCAAATCGGCCACCTTCCAATCACAGGCGCAGCCGCCTACCCCGCTGAGCCACACGCCACCCCCACCTTGACATTTTTGGTTTATAAACATCTTATTTACAGACGTGGTTGACTTGCCATCGGTGCCTAGAGGTAGAGTTGTGGCCTGTCAACAGTGAGCCGTGTGTCTGCGTTCCCATGCGAGCTGCCGGCCCCACCTTCCCCTGTCATCCCAACTGGTTCTGCCGCTGGTACTGGGCCAGGCGTCATGTCTTTTTCATTAGTTGGGTGTGGAATCCCTGAGCGACGTGCGTCCCTGGGAAGGCACATGGGCTGCAACAGCAGAACGTCAGCCACTGGTGAGCGGGGGTCAATTGTGACGGTGAATCACCCCTTTATTGTGGTACCTGATGTGACATGAAAAGCCCCCATCAAAACAGGCGGATCTGGAAACAAAGGAGGTATTAGGACTCAGATCCGTTCCTGTGCAGCCCTGGAGGCTCCAGTCTGGCCAGGGGGTGGTTTACAACAAGCAGGTACGTCAGCGTCAGCCGAGACGTGATTGGCCAGATGACCAGGAGCGGAGGTCTGTCCGCAGCGCAGTGTGATTTGTTGGATCGGGCCCGTTTCAAGTCTCCCGTCCCAGTGGGACCACGCTGTTGCAGCCGGTGTCACTGGGGCTTTGAGTACCTGCACGGAGGTCAGTGATGTTCCGTGGCACCCCGCCAGACGGGAAACGCAGCACGGTCTGCCGAGAGGAAGCGAGAGAGGGCAGGCGTGGCAGGCGTGGCGTGACCAGCAGGTACTGCATGTGCCAGCGGCTTTTGCTGAAATCGGGAAGCGGCTCATGTTCCCTGACCGGAAGCTGTGGTCAGGATGCCACAGGCCTCACAGAGCAACACAGGCCACGACTGGCCATGGCATGTGACATACCAGGTCACCTGAGCTCACTCTGCCAATTGCCTCTCTGCCTTCCCCTTCATCAAAAAAAAAATAAAAATCATACAACATATATGTTTATCCTCATTGTACATGTACAACGAAACACTATAACTGGAAGAAAACTTACTGTGCTTGTATAATATGTATTATTTTATAGCTTATACACATCTGATTAAAACAAAGCCATTGACTGTTATCCATGTGAAATGTACTCAGAAAGATGGGTGTATCTGAGAATCTCACTGTCCTTA